TCTCTTTTATTTCCATTTAAAAATCAGTTTTAAAAACTTTTTAATGAATGTTTATTTGTTTAATTTTATATTTTTGCGTGGTTGCTGGTCGTTGCCTTGGATCATGGTTTCTTGATAAAAAATTTCATCTATTTTAATGGACTTTGGGTGTGGATGAGATTGGATGAATCTTCATCAATTCAAATCTACCATTAAATGACTATTTGATTCATTCTTGGTGCTTTGGATTGTTGATAGGTTTAGTGTCTTAATCCACCAAGAAAGGTGATTAAAATTGATTATAAGTGAATATTAAGTCTTGATTCAATTTGGTTTCTGTCTTCATCTTTCCTTCTCCTTCTTTTTCTTTTTCTTTTCTCTTGATCAATTGGATGACTTGGTGCCCATCTTGTTAATGATGTTTAAATTTATGCTTGATAAAATTTTATCATTTCAAATCTATCACTCAATTTACCAATGATTATTGGAGGTACTTTGAATTGATGCATAAGTTTTTCCTAAGTTGTCGTGAAGGATGACTGATGTAATGGACCAATCTCCTTGCCATAGTGCTTGATCCCTCCTTGGTTTTCACTTGTGCTACATGTTTTAGGAGTATGATTTCTATCATATCTCTAACATGTATGGTACATAAAGTGTTATTGAACAGCCTCCCATAGAATGATATTCCTAATAGATTGTGCTATGATTGCTTAATATAGCGCTAAATTTGTTCTGAATCTGATCATTAACATTAACAATAAGACTAACAATATTATTGTGCTGACATTTACTTTATGTCATTTACTTTTCTTGCACCTTTATGTTTATGTCATTTAATTTCTTGCTCTTTATATTGTGCCCTTTGTGCACTCATTCAAACTATTTTTTTCCCTTTGTGCACTTTTCTTTCAAAATCTTTTCTCAAGGATTAGACATGAGTCATTTTCATAGTTGAGATGTGATTCTCCGATCCGCATAATAATTCTTGAAATGATGTTGATTCTTTTACACTTGAGAGAGTTAGTGGCATACTTGTTGATTTCTATCCAAGTTAGAGTTCTTCTTAATAGTGATGCAAAGATCCATTTTCGCATACTTGTGAGTCATTAGTTGAGTTTTCTCCTTAAAATGACAAAGTGTATTTTTTATTTAAAATAAACCAAAATAAACTCTTTTTTCATTTTTACTACGAACTACGAGGTTTTGATTCTCCATTGCACTTTGTGGATACATAGGCATGAGACTCAGGAAGTCTTGTCAAACACCAAAATCTTAAAAAATATTTCTCTTCTCATCTCTTCAATATTTTCGCAAACAACCGGTTCCTATAGAGTACTATAGATGTTTTGGGTGCTAACACCTTCCTATTGCATAACCAACCATTTTACCCTTTGTCTCTCTATTTTATTAGTATTGTTTTAAAACTTATGTGGGTTTTATTCGCTCTTTCCCCATTCCTTTGGAAAAAAATAAAGTGTGGTGGCGACTCTTGCTTTGTGAGTTAAGTTAACCAATAGCTTAATCTCCAATTTTTCTCTGCTACAAACACATGTTGAATATTGTCTCTCTCGACATTGTTGATTCATGGAAGAAGGTAATCACTTTATCTAGATCTATGTAACTTTTTATGTTAGTTTTTAAGTAAAAGATTTAAGTTTGTTGTTTTGTTATTGTAAGCAAAGTTCATAATGTTGTTGTTAACTATAAAAGGTTTAATACTGTTAATGTTGTGGAGATTGAAGATTTAATGTTATTGTTGTTGTTATGATAACCTAATTTAAATTTGTTTCAAATTATAAGTATTTATCGACTAATCACCATTTGTAGAAGAAGACATAAATGACATCTGTTCACCTTAGGGTACTTGCTTCCTAGATTTTTTCAATTCACAAGCACACAAATTTCTCTTGGTTATAGCCTTGTTGGTTAACTATTTGTATATTTTAATTTTGTTTTAAATAAAGAATGTGTTTCATTTTAGCTTTGGTATAAATAATGTATGTGAGTACATAATGTATATATAGTTTTGATTCACAAATTAGACATTTGATTCTAAATGTGTAATTTAGATTCTGTTTCAAAAAAATATAGGTTAAAAGTAAAATTATATTATATTTCAAAAAATAAGGGATATTCTCTCGGTTGGAACTCCAAACTGCGTGTAAGAATCCTTTTCTTAAATAGGATATTTAATTATCACCTTAGATATTAAAATGAATTGAAAGTAAAAGTGAGTTTTTTCTCTTAGTTAACATATCTAATAGAGGGTAAAGTATCGCGCTTTTCATTTTTATCTCGATTAATAATTTGAAAAAATAAGTAGCACATTTTACATTACACCATATATTACCTCATCCACATAACAGAGAAAAATCCTATTTCAACCGGGATAAAATCTCCACTTTTGTACACCATATATTACCTCATCCACATAACAGAGGGAAAGTCCTATTTCAACCGGAATAAAATCCCCACTTTTAGTAAGGAAAATGCTTAAATGTAATTGTTATTTTCTTGACTATAATCTAACCTATGTGTCAAGCAAGAGACATTTTACAATTGCTATATTTTAAAAGAGAGTAAAATATCTTGTTTTTCTACTTTGTTTTTGTTCCCTTTGTTGGAATTTTTGTTCTCTTATGCTATTTTAAAATAATATGTTTATGTGTCTACAATTTGTCTTTATTAATTTTATGTTATTTTATAATTTTATTCAATTAAAGTATTCCACATCTTCTCATATATTTGTAACATTATTTTTATTTGATGAAAAAAAGGAGAGAAACATATTTGATTTAAAAGGAGTATGATTTACTCTAATAATGTTTAAGGGTAGATAATTTGGACTAGCCACAAATCTGGAGAGTCTTTGAGGAACCCATTTTTGAAGTCTACGGTTTAAGCTAGAATATACCCTATTGATCAGTTTAAATATTGAACTAAAAGTGATGATTACATGTTATACAGTTGTACCTAGCTTGATAAAGCGTCACGTTCAAAAGACAAAAGGAATCAAAAGAAGTTAGGACAACATGAGTCAAATCCCATGTCATGTGAATCTCTGTTGTTTCGTCAGTTTTTGCCTTGTTGCGGACATGCGGTTGAACCACCGTCTGCACCATGTACAAGCACACTGAACTCTGAACTTTTGTGTTTGCATATTTAAATGTGAATATTCTATGACTCATTCTGTTCATTCATTTATTTTTTATAACAAAAGACGAAAGACATATTCTGTTCATTCATTTTTTTTTTATATCAAAAGACGAAAGACATACTATAGTATAGTTAATTACTCCAATTTGATTGATAGTCTAGTGCACGTGTTAAATTTGTTTACCTTTCAAGTTTGTAATTTAGGAATAGACTCTCATGGGTTTTTACGGCCAGTTGTGGTTATAATATTTTGGTGGTTTGGTCGAGGTCAGAAAAAGTAGGTTAGAGAGGGTTTTGAAGGAGCTCTCTAAGATTTGAAAGAATTAGGAGTCTTCTAAAGTTTTGTTGTTTTCTGGGGAGTTATTTTACGATAGATTGTGCGAAACCTTTAGAGGTGTAAAATTATGTTGGAGTTTTGTTTTTATGGTTTTTGAGAAACAAATGTCTTTAGACTTGGTCTCAATTTGGCATGGTATTGTCTGCATAATTTGGAAAATGAAGAATAAAGTTAATTTTTGTTTGAAAAGTTCACGGTTAATCATTAGATATTTGTGATCATTAGTTTGGGGTAGAAGTAGGTTCAAACTTATATTTTAGGTATTTTTATTTCCCTAGTTGAGTGGGAGCAAGACCTACTTAAGTGGGTGGACATTTTGCAATGTGCAAAATGACCAGCTTCCCTCCTTTGGTTTTTGCAGGTGTTTGATAATGCCTTCCCCCCGCTTGCTCTTTCTGGAGGCCTGTTTTGTCAGAGTCTTTAGTAGATAACGTAGTTTGTTGTTGCTGTTTTTGTGTATTTCACTACAACAAAAATGACTTTAGGCAACAGAGGAATAGACAACGCTGTAAAACAGTCCCTATAAGTAACATAGGCTACGCGTTTTTGAAAATGTGGTTATAGTACACGTTTTTACGTGGACGCTTTTTTTTCAAAACCGTCCCTTATTTATTATATGCTACGCTTTTTTTTCAAAATGTGGTTATAGTATAACCGTCCCTTATTTATTATATGCTAAAACTGGCAGAACTAGGACTTGAACCCAAGTCCCTTACTTTGTAGAAAGACCTCACCACCACCAGAACAATGACGCCATATGGTTATAATTTTGATTCGAAAGTTATTAATTAGTTAATCTGTTCTAAAACTTGAAATTTTTCATCCGGAACATACCAGTAGCGCCATATAGTTTCTAAAAATTGGGGGTTGTTTAAACCCTAACTTTTTCATCTCTCTGCAAGCAAACTGGAACTATAACATTTTCACCCTCATTCATGTCGGCAACCGTCCTCCCTTCTCTCATCCATTGCTTACACCTCTCAAACGTAAGTTTCTCATTCTAATTTTGTAAATAATAATAATAATAATGTGAAATTTTCAATCTCTCATGTTCATACTTTTGTTCTAGGGTATTCACCTTATGCAGAGTTTTTCCATGATTTTTGAATTAGAGACGAACTGTAAATTGAATTGTTCTGGTTTTAAACATTTTGTTTTATTATGTAGTTTTCTTTACAAATTTAAGTTCGAAGATCTCACTGTTTAAGGGTATGTCATGTATCTTAACCAATTTTATTATGTAGTTTTCTTTACGAATCGGTATCAAATTGTTGTCGTTTCCACCGTTTTGCAACTTGCACACTAAGTGTTCGGTAAATTGCCTCAACCAAGTTTCTTTTTCGTTTCTGTTTTTTACGAATCATGTGTTCAATAAATTACTAAGAATTTATATGTTTCCCAGCTTAACAGTTCTGGGTTGTTGAGAACACAAGGCCTCATTGGAGGGAAATGGAGGGATGCTTATGATAGGAATCTATAGCAGATGGCGAATGTATAACAAATTAATGGAGTTTTGCATAGTGGCATGATTAGTGGTTCTGGATCAACACTATTTGAAGAGCTTGGACTTTGCTATATTAGTCTTCTTGATGGTCATAACATTGATGATCTTGTTGCTATTCTCGACAAAGTTAAGAGTACGGAGAAAACGGGTCCTGTACTAATTCATGTTGTCACTAAAAAAGGTTTTGGATATCCTTATGCAGAAAGAGCAGCAGATAAGTACCATGGTAATGGAAACACAGTTCCTCTCCAGAAAGTGTACTTAATATTTATGATATGTATCTTAGTTACATGGTATAATTTTGCAGGAGTTGCCAAGTTTGATCTTGCTAGTGGAAAACAGTTCAAGGGAAAGGCTCTTACCCCGGTACTCACATCATGCTTTGCTGATACTTTGATTGTAGAAGCAGAAGTTGACAAAGACATTGTTGGAATTCACACTGCAATGGCAGGGGGAACTGGAATGAATCACTTCCTTCACCGTTTCCCTACAAGATGAACAACTAGCTGTAGCTGGTCTCACATCATCTCACATAGCAGCAACTGTATTCAACATTCTTGGACAAACAAGACAGGCACTAGAGATGGATACTGTGACATGATACAATCTAAGAAAGATGCTTAGAAACAGAACACAAATAAGAACCTCTCAGCTGACACTTCACATGTATTATCAAGTCACCAATACATGTATTGATTTAAAGTTATTCTCTATATGGATTCTTGATTCAGGGGCATTTGACAATGTTGGTCCACACATCAAGTGTTGGAAGCCTAGATTACAAATTGAAATTTCTTGAGGTATTTTTCCTATCTTGCATGCATTTCCCTTGTGACAGCTTACATAAATAATCATGATATTTTTCCTATCAACAAAATTTAGTTCTCTCAATGAAGTGTCAATGGTGTTGCTCAACAATTTATTGTATTTACCTTTTTCCGTAATCATGATATTCCTTTTCGGCAAGTGGGATTATGTAAAATACATGCGTTTCTCCTTGTATTTTAATTAGTTTATAAGTGAATATCATCAAAATAATTGGGATTCAACCTTTAATCATATTAGATTTAGTCTCATGTGAGGGGCTAATACAAAATTCAAGTAAATAATTGTGTTGCTACTGAATTGCTAGACAGTAGAAAAGTATATGATTGCAAACTAAATGTTGAGTTTGGGCTTCATTAACATCTTTCATCAGATAAGTACAATCGTAATGGGAACACGGTTCCTCTCCAGAAAGTGTACTTAATATTTATGATATGTATCTTAGTTACATGGTGTAATTTTGCAGGAGTTTCCAAGTTTGATCTTGCTAATGGAAAACAGTTCAAGGGAAAGGCTCTTACCCCGATACCCACATCATGCTTTGCTGATGCTTTGATTGCAGAAGCAGAAGTTGACAAAGTCATTGTTGGAATTCACGCTGCAATGGCAGGGGGAACTGGGATGAATCACTTCCTTTTTCGTTTCCTTACAAGATGCTTCGATGTAGGGATAACAGAATAACATGCTGTTACATTTGCTGCAGGTCTAGCTTGGGAAGGTTTTAAGCCTTTTTGCACTATTTACTCATCATTCTTGCAGAGAGCTTATGACCAGGTAGTGTAATTTAATATTCCACACAAGAAAGTAACACATTTATTAAAGCGCATTGCATTTTAAATATGATTATAATAACATTAATATGCACCGGCTCTCACTTAGCATATTGAATAACATTAACTTTTGCAAATGATGCTTTGAGTATATATTGCGTGTCTGTTCAAAGGTGGTGCATGATGTGGACTTGCAAAAGCTTCCGGTAAGATTTGTGATTGACAAAGTTGGATTCGTTGGAGAAGATGGTCCAACACACTGTGGTTCTTTTGATGTCACCTATAAGGCATGTCTCCCTAACATGGTGGTGATGGCTCCTTCCGATGAAGCAGAGATGATCCACATGGTGGCTACTGCTGTTGCCATAAACAATCGACCTAGTTGTTTTCGATTTCCAAGGGCAAATGGAATTGGTGTTGAACTACCACCAGGGAATAGAGGCACACTTCTTGAGGTGAGTTAGAATTTTGGCCATATTTATGAAGATGACTCGAAAGATTGTTAGCAACATGTTCTCTAACACATCATTTTCAACATGGATAAATTATCTATTATCAAAAGTAATTGCATTAGATAGTGTAATGCTGACATTATTATAAAACACAGTTTCTGCAAATGAGCTTAACATTTATAATTCAGAATTTTAACAGATTGGAAAAGGTAGGATATTGATTGAAGGGGAAAGAGTGGCCCTTTTGGGTTTTGGAACAACAGTACAGAGCTGTGTAGTTGCAGCTTCCATATTGGAACAGCATGGCTTGCATGTAACGGTAGCCGATGCATGTTTCTGCAAGCCATTGGACCATTCCCTCATTCGCAGCCTAGCCAAATCACACGATGTTTTGATCACAGTGGAAGAAGGATCAGTAGGAGGATTTGGATCTCATGTTGCTCATTTCATGGCCCTTGATGGTCTTGATGGAAAATTGAAGGTGTGAGTCCTTTGTGTTTACCTAACTTGACCTTAAATATTGAGCAAGTTGCTGAAAATTGAAATGTGTTTGATAAGTATATGTAGTGGAGGCTAATGGTTATTCCTGATATTTATATTGACCATGGTTCACCTGCTGAACAACTGGCTGTAGCTGGTCTCACATCATCTCATATAGCAGCAACTGTATTCAACATTCTTGGACAAACAAGACAGGCACTAGAGATGGATATTGTGACATGATACAATCTAAGAAAGATGCTTAGAACCAGAACACAAATAAGAACCTCTCATCTGACACTTCACATGTATTATCAAGTCACCAATACATGTACTGATTTAAAGCTATTCTCTATATGAGATTATGTTCATACATGAGTTTACAGAAAACCTTTGCAGGGACATGCTATCACAACAAGATGTAACTATCATATGGAAAAAAACTAGGAAATTTATGGAGTTACACAAACCACCTAATTAGTTTATTATATTTCAAAGAGTTTGGATTTATTTTGAAAATATTTGTTCTAACATTTCAAAGTGTTTATTACACACTACAACAAAAATGACTTTTGGCAACAACTCAAAACCGCAACCTAAAGTGCAATAACCGTAGCCTAAGGCTTTAGGGGGCGGTTTATGAGACGTGGAATAAACGGTCGTTGCCTATTCCTTTAGAGTGCGGTTTTTTTAATTTTTAACCACGGATTCAAAACACCGTCGCCTAAATCATCAAATTCCACGGTTTTAGTTGTAGTTTTAGACCGCGATTTTCTAGTAACAACACAAAATAATCGTCCCCAAAACATGAATATACAACAATTATAAACAAGCGACAAATGAAAACCGTAGCTAGTTTATAATTTCATTTAAAGAACCGCGCCTAAAACTTAGGAAAAGTCCACGATTTTTAATAAGTAACCCTTAAAAAGCGTTGCCTATAAATTGAAAAATATTAAGTAAATATTAACTTTAAACTTAAAGATATAATTACTAAAAAATTTCCTATTCATTTATATGGTGATACATTTAAGCCATACACCTTTTGTTTTAATATAATATAAGTCAATATTATTAATTAAATGAGAAGAAACACATGTATAAATTAATCAAAACCTATAAATATGAAGTATTAATAAGATGAAGTGTAATAAACACTTTGAAATGTTAGAACAAATATTTTCAAAATAAATCCAAACTCTTTGAAATATAATAAACTAATTAGGTGGTTTGTGTAACTCCATAAATTTCCTAGTTTTTTTCCATACGATAGTTACATCTTGTTGTGATAGCATGTCCCTACAAAGGTTTTCTGTAAACTCATGTATGAACATAATCTCATATAGAGAATAGCTTTAAATCAGTACATGTATTGGTGACTTGATAATACATGTGAAGTGTCAGCTGAGAGGTTCTTATTTGTGTTCTGGTTCTAAGCATCTTTCTTAGATTGTATCATGTCACAGTATCCATCTCTAGTGCCTGTCTTGTTTGTCCAAGAATGTTGAATACAGTTGCTGCTATGTGAGATGATGTGAGACCAGCTACAGCCAGTTGTTCAGCAGGTGAACCATGGTCAATATAAACATCAGGAATAACCATTGGCCTCCACTACATATACTTATCAAACACATTTCAATTTTCAGCAACTTGCTCAATATTTAAGGTCAATTCCTTTAAGTGTGGTTTCTTCTTTAATTTTCTGATTGTTTCTCGCTTGGAAGGTTGTCATGGATGTAGTCCTTTTGCATTTTTATTGGTCTTATCTACTTTTGTGATATGTATTACTATTTTTTCCTAATTAATATATGATTTCTGCTTTGTCATTAAAAAAATAAGTGATGAGATGAATAATATAAATTATGCTTAAAAGTGTTAGATTAAGATATGAGGTCCAATTACATTTTTGAATTTTTAAACTTCAATGTCAAGATCGTTAAACTCCTTTGTTGTTCCTATTGAGTTGGCTACATTTTAGCAAAACAACAACTTTAAGAAGTGTCCAAGTATTCTAGATTGGTCTAGCTTGCTAAAGTTGTATGAAGTTGCAGAAAGGATATGCGATGGGTGCGATGCTCCAGCATGTTGGTACGACATATGGGCCTTATGCAAAGGTGCCAAAATGATGCATTTTGGAGTGTGTTCTGCAGAAGATTTGTCAAGTATTTTATTGTTATTGATCTAACAATATTATTAGCTGATTTGTTTGACAGCTGGATGAAGTTTAATTCGAGTTTAAATGAAGATTTAAATTTGAATTTTAATTAAACCAAATCATATCTTGTTGGAGATATTCAAGGAGAAAATTAAATATTCCATAGATTCTGAATTAATTCTGGACGAATTCAAAGATACTATCAAAGGAGAAAAGCCCATAGTTACTTTTCTGTATAAGGAGCTCAAACCTACATTAGAAAATAAGCACTCCCATTGAAGATCTTAGAGTGTTAGGTTTTGTGTCTTGTATCCATGTTAATAGTCTAATAGGATTAGTCTAGGATCTATATGTACACCTTTATGTTTCAATAGCTTGGCAAAAATGGTTTGTCTAGTTGAGTTGTAATCAACATTGTTATGTACATTTATATGTTTCAGTAACTTGGCATATATGGTTTGTCTAGTCGAGTTGTAATCAACATCGTTATATACACCTCTATGTTTCAATAACATGGCATAGAATGTTTGTCTAATTGAGTTGTAATATTCAACAGTCTTTCATCTTGTGAAGATTGAAGTTGATCACTAGGGTTTAGTGGTTGTTTGACCATGTCACTGAGATTATGGCAGAGAAGAAAGTAAGTAGGTTCTCATATTTAGAGAGACTCTAAATAGAAAGTCATTGATAGGTTTAGGAAGAGGCATTGAACAACATAGAGTTTATTGTTGCTTGCAAATCTAATTGTATTAAGCTACTAATAGTGGATTTCCTTTCTTGAGATGTGGACTCAGCCACCCAGACGTAGGTGCAGTTTCACCGAACTAGGTAAACATTTCATTGTGTTCTTTATTGCTTTTATGCTCCATCATATATTACTTGTTTGTGTTGTGATTATGGTGTATGATGGAAAATCACTACGACAAATAACACTTTTTTTATGATGAAGCTTTCACCTCGAACATGCCAAAAATCGAGTGTATAGGTCCTGGGAGCGACATGTTTGATTATTTAAGAAAAAACAACCTTTTCCCAAACCAAGGTATTGAGCGTCAGATTTTCTACATAAAAAATAATAAACCTATTGCCTTGGTGTTTTTGAAAATCAAGGGAATAAATCTATAAGAGAACACGCTTCGAATCCTTATAAATGCATTTAAGGTTTTTTCAATGATTTTTCATTTGGCACCTTCCAATCTTCCCATTTTTTCTTTTTTCATTTTTTTTTCATTTTTTTCTTGTTAATTAGTAATTCTAAAAAAAATTTGTTATCAATAAAAACAAATAGGCAATAATATGAAAGCAAATATTTCATTAATTAAAAACAGGACAACAAATAACTATTCCACATATTTAAATTTTTTAGTCCACTCAACTTCAATAGAATCGGTATTAACTATCTTTAACTGAGAGAAAAGTTCAGAAAGAATTCATCCATATGGTATGAGAAAAGTTACTTCCTCCCTAGAGATGATTATCATTTCCTTTAAGAAGTTAAAAATGGTAAGAGGAAGATTAACTTTGATGTTCATGGTAAGGAATAATAAGAGATGATTGCCATCCCAAGTAAAAGTTTCAGTTGTTTCTCTCTTGGACAGAGATTTGACACTAGAAGTTGATACAAAACTTTTTTGATTGGTTGTAGAGTAATAGGACTGCTGAGATTATCGTTGTTGGCATAAATTAGGGAAGGTGATCTAAGTAGGCGTTGTTGAATCTATAATGTTCAAAACAACAATCTTCCTCTTCACAATTTATTGTCTGAGTCATAAGTGACCGAGTAATTGTGATAGGAGAGACATTGACATAGGACTGGATTGACTCAACATTATGACCAGATGGCCCAACACAGGCATATAACTAGAACTCTTTAACGAGATTAATGTAGATGGGTCCATGAAGAATATCAAAATAACAGTTCAACTTTTGTTTGTGAATAGTTTTACTTAGATCAAGCCTCATCAAGAATACTCAAGATTCTTGTAGATGGGTCCATGAAGACTTAAGATTTAAGATCACCGGTGATCTCAGATGATTTCAAATAATATGGAAATATCTCAAGCCTCATCAAGAAGACTCAAGATTCTTGTATGATGCTAAAGTCAAAGATAATACAACAACATGAAGCTTTAAATGTGAAAAAAGAAAAAGTGTGAAAACTGTAACACCCTTCTAAAAACCCCACAAAAATAATGATTAATTTAGTCATATAAACATAACCACAAGGGTGCCATACTTTATAAAACATCACAATTATCATGCTCCATAACACGGGTTACACACAAACATTTATTAATTCAAACATACTCATTTATGAGGCTTTTACGACGTCAAGTTCTCTTAAAAACAACGCAGCGGATTCAACATAAAGAAATTCAATTATGATTCTTCAACTAAAATTCAGTCTTAAACTCCAACATCTTTAACATCAACAAAGGATAAGTTTCGTCAACACTTAATTCAATATCTTAGAATATCACCATGATATTATTAGCAAATACATCAAAATAAACAACATATGAAATTAGGAAGACAAGCATCAACCCCAACCCAGTGTTATATGAATCAGAGCAGAATCCCTCCTACTTAAAACGAAAAACTGAAACGAACTACAATAGCTAGCTTCCACTTACTTCCTTGGAGTTTACTGCTGAGTATCTGCGCGTTACCCAGGTGGAGTCAATACTCACACAGAAGGTGTGAGTAATCATAATAAATTATAATAGACGTAAGAAATAATATATTGCAAGAATTATATGCAAAAAGTCAACAACATCAACATATCATAAACTCACACCCAAAACATCATAAGTAACTCATATACAACTCTCATCACAAGGCTCACATATAATCACATAACATTCACAAGTATCACCACATCATATAGCACCAACAAAATTATGCAATGCCACATAGAATGTTAATAAAACATCATTGACTCAAAGCATGTGGTACCAAATAATGAACACTTAGGTTCATCTCACTCCATGATCTCGACCATAGGATCGATTCCCTCTTAGAACCAGTGCAAATTAAAATCGTTACCATCACCATAGGTAACGCTTTACTAATTCCTCATAATTGAAAT